CCTTATACGCCATTTTGCAAATTCAGTGTAATAGTTTACAAAGAAAAAAAGGGGAACGTATTTATTTTTTTGCCATGAGAAATTTAATTACAATAAGTGGATTTCAGAAAATCGCGGTAATTTGAATAATTTGTATATGCTTTTGATAACGGGTTTGAAGTTTAGGTATTCTCTGGCCGCACTCTTGTATTACTATGATCACTGAGAGTTGGCTTATATAATAATCTTATCATTCAATATTTCCTAAAAAAGTAAATAAACATCATCTATTTATAAGTATTCATGATTTGGAAAAACTCCGTATGAAGTTGTGAAGATAAATGATACTTGGATCAAGCACTCCATAGCAATTATCTTTTTTCGTACACTGTATTACATTTTTACAAAGTACAAAGCGTACAAAGCCAATACCAAATAGACAGAAATCAGTAGCTGTTTTCTATACTACGATAATATTAAATAAACACACAAATTTTTTTAAAGATCGTACAAATATCGGTGACCGATATATATTAGATAACGGATCGGTGACTAATAGTTTGGATATCGGACACTTGGTAATTTACATTTTTTTAACCATATTTGAAATTTGCGCATTATGTGACAAATCGGGTACCCGATATGTTGTTAATATGTAAAAATTCCCGATATGTACCTAATTAGTCACCGATATATAGGTACCCGATATGTGTGAGATAGATCGTTTTTTGACCTGTGTTATCGATGATTTGTGGTGGTTAAGGTTGCTTGCCGAAACCTAGGGGTTTAGGCAAGATGGCGTTTCGCCGAAAAGCGAAATTCTGCTGAAACTATATTAAAGTTATATTAAAAAACTGGCGAAACTTTGGAGAAAGGCGAAACTACCAAAACTTATTATAAATGCCGAAACTGCCGAAACTCTGCCAAAACTATAATAAACCTATAGTAAAATTTTGACGAAACTAATCGTAGGATTTTGAAGAGGTTTAGACAAGCAACCTTAGTGGTGGTTTATGACTATTCCTTCTATGACGAAAACAAATACCTTCATCATATTCCGAAATTCATTGGCAGTAAACCGCTTAATATTTTCCAGGCCATTCTTGAATATCTTAAGGCCAGGAAATCGTGGGATTTTAGCCAAATGATTATCAAGTTCGTCAACCGCTATTTGACCACACAATTCTTTTAACAACATCCTTGTGTAGGTCACTTGATAATTAAACAATCCCAAGTCGAGATGATGCATTCGGTCAGGTATTGTTGACAAATAAATATTTAACTGACTATCGTTTATTTTTGAGTAAATATATTAGAAAATAATTGGCAAAATAAACACACTTTCTTTAAAAATCACGTGATACGTACGGATAATTCCAAAAGATGTTTTTCATATCGTGTAGAGAATATTGTTGTGCAGAATTTTGTTCAACAAGACATCTCATATTTTCTGGTGTTCTTAAGATAATTTGATCGTTTGTTAACTCCACATTGTTCAGCTTCTCACGCTTCACCAAACATTTATGACAAGGGTTTTGACAATTAACAGAGTTAAATGTTAAAGTTACCGCAGCATTTTCTGGTAAATCTCCTAACATTACGGAAATAAACGGAAAACACCACTTTATACCATTATCTGTTTGAAGATCAAATCCACCATTATAGTCAAGTAACGATCGTGTCAATATATTTAAAGCATATTGATAAAGGACTCGCTTGGCTAACCGAAAACTCTTTGACCTCTTTTGTGAAATATCTTTTGCCTTTAGGATCGGCAGATAACCCAAAAGTATTTTGGCATCAGGCCTATTTCTGCGCCAACTAACTATATTACCAAGTGTCAAATAAATGGGATGTTCGCTGGTCTTTCCTAAGTGATCACGTGTCGTAGCATCTGAATATAAAATTACTGACAATACATTTGCACCATTAGGAAGTGATTTTTGGACTCTTTCCCACCATTGTCCATTATATTGTTCGTTATATATTCTTTCTCTGTTATGATTTAATAGTGTAAATTTAAAAGTACAATGGGCAAATATATCCTTATTGCTCAACAATTCCTTTATAACGTCAAAAATTGGACGATAATGAAGATAATACGTTTCTTGTTTATATGTCATGATAGGCGCTTTTTTAAAAGAAATATGTGGTACAACAATTTGATCCAACAATTGACGACCTTTTTTTACTGACGTAGGTAAAATTACATTATCGCGTCAAATCTTTTTTGAAAATTTAAGTATATCGTTACCACATGCATCAGACAAATTCCATTTAGTAAGCAACTCCATAAAATTTCCAAACTCTTCGCTTGGAAATTCTGGTATATTTGTTACTCTAATATCAAGAGATTCGAAGGTTAGGATTGGTTCAACGTCAATTAGCGAATATTCAATTTCAATGTCTCTTGATTTGTCAATCACTTCCTATATATGGATGTTAATAGACAATAAATACTTGATAAATATGTCGATCGCTTTCTATATATAGACATATATAGACGCACACAAAAGTATAAATTATTTTAATTTCATTTAACGTTGATTTCTCACCTCCTCTTTCTCTTCCTCTCCTCTTCATAGTTCACCTCTTCTAGTTGTTCATCATTATCGCTCCCTTCCTCTTCTTCTTCCCTTCGTCTTCCCCTTCCCCTTCGTAGTTCACATCCTCTAGTACTTCATCATTATCTTCTCTTTCTTCTTCGTAGTTCACATCCTCTAGTACTTCATCATTATCTTCACTTTCTTCTTCGTAGCTCACCTCCTCTTGTACTTCATCATTATTAGTACTCCCTCTCTCTTCCTCTCCCTCTTCGTAGCTCACCTCCTCAAGTCGTTCGTCGTCATCCACTTCCTCTTGTTCATGTTCTACTTCTTCAGCAATTTCTCTAAGAACTTTATCAATTATATCATCGTGAGTTTTCACATGATTTCGTAGAGAAGCATGACGACTGAAGACTCTTTCACAATGTGGACACGAGTATATAGCCATTTTTTGAAGTTGATTTATGGTGAATAAGTTTTTTATTTGACGTTATTAAAGTAGGTTAATTTATATAAAAACATTAAGGTTTTTTACATGTTGATTTATTATATTAACTTGTTTAACAATAATTTGACTATGTGCCTCAATAATATTAACAATACTTAACAATACAGTATTGCTTGACGTATTGCACGGTTTACACAATGTTAACAGTTAGTGTTACTGATTACGATCAATCAAGAAATACATACATTAAATTAATCAATCATCGTGTCATTTAAATATTTAGGTGAGGATATCAAATGATACCATCAGTTAACTGCGTAATGATACTGATGAAAATATTCACATTTAAGGTGTCAACAAACACAACAAACATCATAGAAATTAACGCATAATTATTATTATTAGTACTTTTACGACGAATAAAATAAAGGATTAATTAATA